TGTGTGTGTGTGTGTGTGTGTGTGTGTGTGTCTTCAGGCTACCCTCCACTGCCCAGCAGCCTGTACTCCAGCCCTTACCTGTCCCTGGGGCACCTGGATCCTCCCTCGCTCTCCCAGCACCCTCTCTACGACTCTCACAAAGGTCAGTCGCTGTCAACAGCAACGTTCACGGAGACAAGCGGCCGGATTTAGTGTTCCGATTCTCTCATATCCTGACGATGCATGAGTGACAGTAATGTCAAGCTTTTTCATTTGGTGAGAAGACTTGTTGTTTGTGCAACTGAGCCAGAAACGGGAAACATTTAAGCTGCTTTGATTCCTATTTTGGTTTCATGCTAACATGTAGAGTTTGTCCTGGATTTTTAGACTCACGTGTCTTACGTTCTGTGTGTTTCTAGAGGGCTTTTACCTGCCAGCCCCCGTGAGCCAGTTGCCTCTCCACCCTCCATCTGCTCCTCCTCCTCCGACCGCCCCGTCCAGCTCCACACCGCCACAGAGGACGTCCCGGGACGGGGGCAGGGACCGCCCTTATCGGGGGGAAAGGGAGCGAGAGCGGTCGAGAGAGGAGCAGAGGCCGCACAGCGTGGTGGACCTGACGCAGGACGGGAGGAGCGAGGAGGACCGCCGAGCGAGGATCGGCGACCGGGACCGAGAGAGAGAAATGGACCGGGACACGGAGAGAGACCGGGAGAGTTGGGCCTTCCACCCTCACCCCCACGAGCAGAAGCCCCACCCCCAGCCTTCCGCAGTGCAGCCCAGATCCCGGCCGTCGCCTCCACGGCACTCCTTCCCTTCAGGCGGGGGTGGGAGGATTCACGGACCAGAAACAGACAGGGGGGGTCGGGAGGAAGAGGGGGTCTCTCGACCCCACCACAACCATAACTCTAACGCTAACTCCAATAACTCAAACTCTCACTCAGACAGACAGCGGAGGAATGACTCTGCGGCCACGTCGGCCGGGACCCTCCACGTCTCCTACGCCCTTCCTCCAGCGCTTCAGCCCTCCGGCGCTGGCCCGCCTCACCCCTCCACACCCAGAGAGTGTATGAGGGAGCAGCGAGTCAGCGCACCGACATATGTGCCTTCTGTGGAGGTGTACGACGAGCGGGTCGGGCCCATCCAGATCGCCTCGCAGGCCCGCGACAAACACAGAGACAGAGAGAGGGAGCGAGAGAGGGAGCGAGAGAGGGAACAAGAGAGCGACAGAGACAGAGAACGGGAGAGAAACAGGCAGAGGGAGAGCTACAGGTTTCCTGAGAGGAGCCTGATGGAGCATCCTCGACTCTCCCAGCCTGGCGATTCAAGCAATCAAAGAGAGGAAGGTTCTGTCATTTGTTCCAATGGTTCCGTTGGTAAACGAGGCCAGGACGCGTCTTACTCCTCCAGTCAATCACGGTTCAGTCCGGACTCCAGGGACATCTCTAAACACTCAATCCGATTGGGCATAGAGCGGGCGGGGGCGGAACCTAAGTGGAACGCCATCAGCCCGTTAGCCAACTATGCCACGAGTCACATGGCCGCCCTGGCAGCCCAACATGCACACACACTCTCCTCTCCCCACAGCCAGCCCAAACGCACACAGATGTCCCCTCACACAAACCACCGGCCCAGCAGCAGCAACAACAACAACAACAACACACACTCCGCCCACAGCCATTCCCCACAAACACACCCCTCCCAACACGGAATGGGGCGTGCAGGTGAGGAGGGGAGTCAGAGACGCTACCTGGACCCATCGGCACTCTACCGGCCCGGGGGGTCACTGGCAGGAGAGCGAGGCGGAGGAGCAGGGTCGGATCCCACTGAGGTCTCAGCCATGCAGAGTCTCATCAAATACAGCGGAAACTTTGCCACCGAAGGTCCGGGGTCCGCCAGGCACGCCGCGGATGGCCGGGGGCCCTTCGGGGGTCTGGCTAGCGTCGGGATGGAAGCCGAAAGGGAGCGGGAGAGGGAAAAGGAAAGAGAGCGAGACAGGGGGGAAAGGGAGAGGGTCTCGGTCGGATCAGGCGGTTCGGGGGCGTTGCGGGTGCCTCCCCAGCTGAAGCGAGAGCAGGAGCGGCCAGACAGCGCCCGCTCTTTCGGCAGGGAGGGGGAGGGGGAGGTGCGCCACCCTCCGGTTGGCATTGCTGTGGCCGTGGCCCGGCAGAGAGACAGTGGGAGCGCCAGTAAACAGACCAGTGGACCCTCAGACACTCAGAGGAACCTGCTGCAAACGGCTATCAAAGGTAATGATGCCTCTTATCTAAGAAATGCCCAAAACTGGGAATTCTTGTTTTCTTGCATGTGAATGATGGAGGTACAAATGGAACTGCTCTGATCATTAGAGAAGTGTGAAGCGCTCAATCACACAAGTCATTTTGTGTTTGATCGTCTCTGGCACGTTCAATCAAGTATACTTAATTTATTTCTAATGTATTTCCTCCTGCTTTTGCCTTCAACTCTCTCCCAGAACGGCGCTGCAGGGAGCACAGATCCCCTTTAGTTCAATGAACCAAGAGCAAATGATTCCTCATTTTGGTTCCCATGAATAATAGAGGATTCATTTTCTTTTTGGATCAGAGTCATGTTTTCAGCTCCTGATTGACTTTGAGGTCTTCATGCACGATTTGGAATCGTAGAAGCCCCCCCCCCCCCCCCTCTCTCTCTCTCTCCCTAAATTCCTAATTATATCATGGGATGTATTTCGTTGAAAGGCTAATTTTGGCGAGTCTGTCGGCTCTCTGTGCTGCATAGCAATTCCTGCCATACAGCGCTCTGTTCTTGTGCGTCAAGGTCATTCAGCTACAGCGTTCTCTCTCCGTCTTTCTCCTCCTCTCTGGTTCTCTCGCTCTCTCTCTCAGCTCCATGTTCTCTCCGTCCTCTTTCCCTCTCTGTCTCTTGCTCTTTTCATTGCGTTGAATGCCTCTCTCCTTCCCCACCCTTCCTTCCTCTCTGAGGAGGCCTTTGTAGCGGCACTCCCTCCTTGTCCCACCTCAGGCCCCCTGCTCTTTCTCCACTCTTTTCTTCAGCTCTCCCACCACCACCACCCTCCCTGCATTAAACATGTCATTACAGAGTGCTGCTAAAAGCTACAAACAAGCCTTGAATTACAATAAGACCATGGGTGCGTTGCTAAGCAATGGATCACTCTTGAGAGTGACTGACTGTGTGTGTGTGCGCGTGTGTGTGCGCACGTGCGTGTGTGAGAGTGTATTTGAGGAACCGTGTGTGCCTGTTGTGGGCGTTTATTCATTTTCTTGCTTGAGCAGAGTGATTGGTCTAATAGCGTCAGCCTCTCACTCTGAGAAGAGCTCCAAATAAACAGCTGAGGATTTACGCACAAACCACAATTAGATGGATGAAGGGAGGGAAGGAGGGATGGATGAAAGCAAGGAGGAGGAAAGGCTAATGATAAGAAATGATGGGATGGATGTAGATCGATTGATCGAGGTTGATAGACGGGAAGAGAGAGAGGTATGTCAGGAAGTAAAGAAGTGAAAAGAGAGAGAGAGAGAGAGAGAGAGAGAGAGAGGGGTGTGCAGCGCTAATCGCTGGCTTACTGATGCAGAGAGGATAGCATGTGGGACAGGCTCCCTGTAACCTTGGTAACAGTCTTGAAACCTTTCCTGTGGAGCATGTCAGGGATTGTTAAAGTCCCTTGTCCCTTTACGGGCTGCACACACACACACACACACTTTTAGAGCAGAACTGAAGGGTTCAGCACACTCGTATAAAACCTTTCTGCTGCTCGGGGACCTTCAGTCAGTGTCGATGAGATGGAAGAGGGTTAACGGCGAAGAAGAGGAGGAGGAGGACCTCATGTTTATTCTGGACTGCTTGGTTGAGTGCGGCAGCTTTCCTTAAATTTTTTATTTATTTATTTTTATTCTCCATCTCTTGTCTTTTTGCCGTCGGCCTTCATAGTAAGCACGGTGGGTTTAAGACCGCGTGTGTGTGTGGTGAGACAGTAGTGGTTTGTTCACACGTCTCCTGTGGCACCAGACTATTAACTGATAAGAGCTGACACTCAGAGAGGTGTGTGTGTGTGTGTGTGTGTGTGTGTGTGTGTGCGTGTGCGTGTGCGCAGTATGTGGCCCAACATGGTATTTTTAGCTTCCCCTCTCTTGCTATGACATGCTGTGTGGTGTCACCGTTATACAGCCAGCGTCTCCTTGTCTTCTCCCCCCCTCACTCCTCTCTCCGTTCTCACCACATCATTGCGTCCTCTCACCTCGGCCCTCCTGCATATCTTCTTTCACAGTTTGTATTCTTTTCTATAAAGCATATTACATGCGGGATCAGGGTTCAAACACTCAAGGAGCCTCAGCGATGCAGCTCCTAAACATCTTTTATCTGTGCCTGAACCCATTATAGATGAGGAGCGAGGGGAGGACCGGGGCCGTCACCACGATGACAGACTGCTGGCCAGCCGGCTGGAGCGCGAGCAGGAGAAAGTGCTCAGGTAAAATTTTAATTGCATATCTTTTTGTTCATTAAAATCGAAATGTTCATGCAAAGCGTCGCATAAAACAGTGTCTTGTTTCCGTCCAGAGAGTCCAAGGAGCTGTCGGAGTTTGCTCAGATGCATCAAGCCCCGATGTCGAGCAGCCTGACCCCCAGTATGATGACACCCAGCCTCATGACCCCCAACCTCATGGTCACGGGAGGGGCTGCCCTGGCGGGGGCGGGACGATGGCATCCCGACCCCTCAACTCTCACCTCTCACCCCTGGATGCCCCGACCTGGAGCCCCCCCAGTCTGGCTGTCCAGCTCCCCATACAGTATGTGGACGTGTGCGTGACTTGAGACGCTAGCTTAACGGCTACAAGCTCCTGTTTAGATGTTCCCCAAATTGCCCTTGATATTCCTCGTGACACCTTTTTGTATCGTGGCTGAAGTCAGGCGTGTGTTTTGGGATTCAAAGAATGAATCGCCACTGATTTTTTTTCATTCCCAAGCTAAATGTCAAACATCACGATTTGCTGCTTTTTATTTGTATGTGATCTGAATATCTGTGGCTTTTGGACTAAAACAAGCATCCGCATGCACGACAAATGCAAAAGCTCGCGTGTCGCAAATGAATGACCTCCCGTGTCTTCATGTGAGCTGCCACTTTGTGTCCGCTGAGGTAGACTGACAGATGTGGACAAGTGCAGCAGACCGCCACACTGAGCAGTAGTACCAGCAGCTCTTGGCCTTTTCAGTGAGCATCTACGTCAGCCGCGTTATCTAACCTGGTGCTTCAGACTAAAGAGTCCAAATCGGTTCAACACCAGAGCGTGGCGTGCTTTTTCAAAATTCTACATGCGCCTGTGTAGCTATTTTGTGATTGGTGTAGCAGCAGAGGGAGGTGCTCCGTCTGTCCAGAGGCTCGTCCAGCAGTAGCCCGCATGGGGTCAAGGCCCACAGACATTCCTGATCTTTGCAGGACATTCCTGCTCCGCCAACGCTCCAGAAATAACAGCATCAAGACGCACACGCGCACACACACACACACACACACACACACACACACAGACACGCACACACACACATTCTCACAGTCACATACTTATGTGAGTTTAAACACAAACATACACACTTCATCTGAAAATATGGAAACACAAACATAAATGCGGAGTTCCCCGAGGGCCAGCTCTGTCTAGACACACGGGGCAAAAACACCAAATCACTCAAAAAAAAGCAGCTAAATTCGCCGTGTGCTCACTGATTTAACTCTACTACGGCTTCAACGTGGGTAGATACTGGCTGAAGAATGATGCCGAGTTGATGTTAGTCTTAGCTTAGCTGGGAAAATGTTTTTTTGTTCCCCATTCTCACTCACTCTGTTTTCTTCCCATTCAGGCCTGGGTCCTTCCTCACTCCACCAGACCCTCCCCCCAGGCTACCCACCCTCTCTGCCAGCCTCCATGCCCCCTCACTACCAGTTTGCCAGGGACCCACAGTCTGGACAGCTAATAGTCATCCCCACTGAACACCTGTCACACTACGGTATGAAAACCTGTGTGCGTGCGTGCGTGCGTGTGTGTGAAATCTAAAGCTATTGGTTTGCCAATTTCATGGTTTATAAAATAACTATTTATTGCAGTTTAGCAAAAAGCAATGATCACCGTGTTCATTTTGAAAACAGATGTTAGTGCTGGTAATTCCTGTAAACAAATGAGACCAAAGCCAACTGGATTGACAGCCCCCCCGTATGTTATTGTGAACTGTGTGCCAGTAGTTTTTGCTTTCTGCTGCTTTACAGCATGAACAAGAGAACGCTTTGATGTACTTGAAGCATGATTATACTCTTCTGTAAAGTGCAAGAGAAAACAAACTAACAGGAAGCCTAAACAGAGCAGTGATTCCCAACCAGGGATACTTGTATGTGGATAAATCTGTTTACATCTCACAAAAAAGGTCGGGAGCCACTGCAACAGAGTCTGTCCTCCCTGGGGCTTGTGGCAAATGTTGTCTTTAATCTTTAGAAATGAAGCTGTAAAAATGCCGCCCAACACCGGTTCATTTCTTCATCTTTAATATGACAAATGTGATGCCAAAGAGTGCTCCTTAAACGGCCTCCATCGCTCCACAGGAGGCGATGTACTTGAGCGCGGGGCCCCGGTGTGGTCGGGGGTTTACGGTAGCGGCAGCTCGCTGCAGCACGCGGCCCAGCTCCAGCTCCTCTCCCAGCAGCAGATGCTCCGGCAACAGGAGCTGCTCATGATCCAGCAGCACACGGCGCAGGTCCTGGAGCTGCAGAGGAACGCACAGCTAGTCGTAAGTGGACCTAATGTTGTTGCATGCAAACCACATATTCAAAGTCTTTTACATACCTGTGTGTGTTATATATGTGTGGTGTGTTTTTATATATATA